CACCTCTAGCATGATCTCACGTGGTGCTGCTGCTGCTGGTGTCGGGACACAAGACCTTTGACGTTACCTGTCATCCAGGAGGGGGAACCATCACAAACACATGTTCCTTATCTCCCACTGAAATGAGAATACCCAGTGCTCTGAGGCCGTGACCCCATCACTTCCTATTGTACAAGGAAAGTCCACTCCCATAGGTTCTGATGAGAATTCTGAGGCCTTCCTTCTGTGGGAAAGAGGGCTAATTACTACTTCTTCCCACAGAGACATGATGAGACTCACACCTATTATGGGAGGAGAGTCCAGGAGCTAACCTGCCAAGACCCCAAGAACTCATCAAGGTGAGAACTACGAACTGAGTTGAAACTGTCATAATAATAATAAGCCATTGCAAACCACCATGTCTTCCATGCTGGTGCTCAGACAGGTGTGTTCGCTGCCTGGTGGGTTTTCTACACACACGAGACACTTGTGTACCCCAGGGTCTACTGTTCACAGAATAGTGAGGCACTCTTTTGTGAATATACATCTCACAGCTGGTGAGATGGCTCAGTGGGTAAGAGCACATGCTGAGCAAGCCTGAGGATCTGAGTCGGACCCCTGACATCCATGCAGGAAGCAGGGCGTAGCTGCTTCTGCCTGTAACCCCAGCACTGTAAAGAAGAGAGAGTGTCTTAAGGTTGTTGGTCAGCCAGCCTAGCCAAAAAACAGAAGCAAAAATAAAATCAGAAAACAAACAAAAGCCAAGATGAGCTCTAGGTTCAATGAGAGATATATGTCTCAAAGGAGTAAGATGGAGCGTGACAAGAGCAGGGTATCTGATATCCTCCTATCTGAGCTCCACATGTGTTCACACTGACCCCCACACAAATACACACACACACACACAAACACACACACACACACACATAAATACACACATGCACAAATCTGTTTAATTTCTCTGCTCAAATTCCTCTTATAGCTTTCCATTCTCTTCAAGACAAAAGGCAAACTTTGAGCCCTACATACTCAGATACTCTAAAAAAATGATTCCATCTCTCCTCTCCAGGCTCAAAAAGCTTTGGCCGCACTGGCCTCCTGTTTGTTAGACATGCCAGTCATTCCCACCTGTTGCACCAGCTGGGTTTCTTTGGGTTGCCGCTCCCTTGCTTTCACAGACTCTGTTCAGGTCAAAGGCAAACTAACCGCACATGTGTTTAGAACCTTTGCTTTGCCTGTTGGCCTGGATTTATTTATCTTTCAGTTCCTATACAGTTGATGCCTAAGACAGTTTGATAGATTCAGATTATAAAATGGAGACCAAAGTTCAGAGACAGCATGGGTATTTAATCAAAGCCCCTCAGATTTGGGGGTTCCAGGAATGTTTAAGGATAAACCCAGAGGTTGTTGCATGATGTGGATTAAAAAAGGGAGAAATTTTGTTTTAGCACTGACTGGGCTCACTCTGTTTAAGGTGCATGGCTTCAAGCAGTCTCCCCACCTCTCTCTTTCTCTCTCATTCTCTGTCTCTCTGTCTCTGTGTCTCTCTCTGTGTGTACACGCATGCACTCATGCACACGCTCATTCTTTGCTGAATCAAGGTTGAGTTGTATGCAAAATGGCATGGGCAAAATCCAATGTTTTCTTTCACTTGTGTCATCATTCCCTTTTTGTAACAAAATACTGTTTTTGAGGCTAGAAGAGAGTGCTCTGTCATTTATGGGTTCCTCTCTGGAAATTATAACTAGATCCTAATTTTAAAGAGCAAATTGGTTTTATCTAATTAAATTTGAAAATTGCCTCATAAACACATATTTTGTAATAGATGTCTCTAGAAGCAAGGACCCCTGTTTGCTGTCAGGGGCCAGGCTGGCTTGAGATCATTGTGGAGGAAACTCCACCTCTCTTTCCTCAAGAAGGTATACTCTTTGGTCAGTTGCAAAAACAAAAACAAAAACAAAAACAACAAAAAACAAAACACTTTCTAAAAGCCAGTGTTTTCTTGAAAAGACCCTCACAATTTTCAATGTCCATATGAATTTACCAGGGTCTTGGTTAAACTGGAAGCTGTGACTTGAGAAGTATTGACGGGGCCTAACATCTTGCATTTCTGAAGTTCCCAGGTGATGCTAGTCTATGGCCCACACTGTAGTATATCAGAGGCTGTGTTCAGAAGACAGGACTATGCCTGCCATCCTGGCTGGATGCCCATTGACACATCACATTCCTATCCGTCAACTTCCTCATTTTTACTCAATGTTAGCAACTAACACGTTACTTCTAAATTCCAAAGAGTGTGTAAATATGTATTTAATATGAACCTTGCAGCATCCTCATCTAGCAAATTACATTCTTAGTATTCTATTATTATTATTATTATTATTATTATTATTATTATTATTATTATTATTATTATTTGCAGTTCGGAGGCCTGCAGTTCTAAAATATACCACAGCCCACATACCAGGCAATGAGATAAACTTGGATTCTGATCTAGGTACCTGATGTCCAATTCAACGTTCTTACCGTGCTTGGCTCTCTTTAGCTTGTGACATGCACCATTACAGTCTTGTTTGCACACAGAACACAATGGACTATACACACAATCTCCTAGACGCCACCACACAATCCCCCAAGAGTTTTGGTGTGTTCCCAAAAGGCTCATGGAAACATCAGTCACTGAGATTTTCTGGCTCTGATTCTCTATAATTATAATGTGAGGAGAAGCCGAGAAGTTACTAGAAAATATCTCTACAGAGCCATCTCAAAGAGTCCATCACGGAAATGAAATCAGGTCTCTGAGACTCCACCAGGTGCTGGGTTCACAGCTGAGGAAGGCAGATAAGCCGTTCCATTTTGTTCTCACCATTGTGAGAACAAGTACCCCAGAGCATACCTCCCACAGATGCCACAAGTTCAGGAGTTCTTACTAAACATGTCTAATTCACAACTCTGTTTCGGCCACCTTCTCCACCTATCTGATTCTTTATTCTAATCACAGAATGGCAAAGCATTGCTTTGTTAGCCCAGTGCAAAGCATAGCCCTATGATATAAAAATTGAGAAAGAAGTCTATGCAGAGATTCAGGCACAGGTCCAAAAGAATGGAACCTAATGGTTTCTGAGAGAAGGTAAGTGCAAGGAACAGAGCCTTTTCATGGCCAAGCTGCCATCATTTCAAATGAGATCAAGGCAATTGCCAAAGACTTATTCAGAAAGCTAAATTCATTCAATTTCAGAGACTTTTATTCTGCAATGATATCCTTTTATATTTTTTGTAATTACATTTTTTAAATTAAATGTTAATAAGAGGTGGTAAATATCTACATTGCTTCCTAAAAAACTTTTCTATGTTGCTGGTCCATGAATTCCAAATCCATATACTCCCAGAACGGAGAAATTCCATATGAAAGTACTATCACTCCCTAAATTATGGATCTTTTCCCTTGCTGCATGAAAAACAGGCTGCTATGCACAAAAATCTGCCTGTCTATTTCTATCTGTCTTTCTTTATCTGTCTTTCTGTCTCTCCCTGCTTCCATTTTCCCTCCCTCCCTCACTGCCTCCCTCCATTTTCTCTCCCTCTCTTTGTCTTTCTCCCTTTCTCTTTCTGATTGTAATCTCTCTAATGAAACTCAAGCAACTGTGAATTTATAGGTTTTTTTGTTTGTCTTTGTTCTACAGTGTTTGACCATATCCTAGCCAAGTCTGCCGTACAAATGCTTCTCCTCTTACAACAAACACAGGAGGAAAGATTTTCTCTCTGGCCCAAGGAGGCTCATAGGCATTACTGTGCTTGCATTCCTCCTTCCAGTATTATCCCTGAGAACAGCACCAAGATCCTTGCGTTTTCTAAAATGAAGATGTTGGATAGCTCTTTTGAGACCAGGTGTCCAGTGAGACAAGATGTTTTTTCCTGCACATAGTGATAACCTGCTTCAGAGATACCTGCGGTCTCTAGAAAGCTTGTGAGTTCATTAGACTAATCCTGATCCTTTACTGTAAAGTACTTTATAATGCTCCCAGCTTTCTCCCCAAAACTGCTCCCTGTAGGTGTGTGTTTCTGCATGGATACTCAGTGATATAAGCCCCCTGTGGGCCAGGGTTCCTGTTTCAGCCTGAGAATCCCTGTGCCCTTTCTCTCCTCGGGTGTGCTATAATCTGAAGTAGTGATTGGCACCTTCATTTTACAGATGACAGATCTGATCTGAGGAGAGGTGGGTCCTACCAAGGGGAATCTGATAATATGGAAAAGTCTTGGGACACAAGGCCACAGCTTTTCTAAATTTCAGCATCTATGCCTCTCATCTGTGACACTGTCTTTTTCTACTTTGTCCTGTATTAGAAGCTCATAGTGTCTTAGAGCACAGAAATGAAAGGAAAATCAGTCTTCAAGACATGCTGGTTCTTGACTTGGATATTAGCTTTTGTGGAGATAGTTTTGTTTTTGTTCTCCAATGGCCTTCTATATAGCTTAGTTTACCGTCTTCAGGTGTTTGCTTGGTGGCTGTGTTCCTCCTGAATATGGTCTATTTCATGTCTGATATGGTAAAGCTTGGCTGATGGGTGAGGAAGATTATGAACTACCAGCTGGCTAATGATATAATATGCTTTGGGCACAGAGCAAGTTAAAACTTGGGAATCTTTTACCCTTGAAACAGAGAATGACTATAGGATTCCTCAAAAACCCATGGTCTGATACATATGGGCGATTTATTATGAGCATTGTGGTACCCCATTTGAACGTTAGCTTCTGGCTTCCAGGTCTGGGTCTTCTCTTATACATCAGTACATCAGTACAATCTGCAGCCTTGAACTATTGACCTATTTGCAGAAAGGATCACTCCTAACCATGATCACATCAATGCATGGTATGTTCACATGCTTTTGTCTTTGGGATGACCAAAACAGTCCAACTCTGTGCCCAGTTTGTATCTCACTCACCTTTGTGACCTTGAAGGAACAGGTGTTCACTCAATGAATAAAGCTGAGCCAATTGAAGCAGCCCAGGAGGTCCCTTACCTCATAGAGTGTGATGACCCCATTGGTCTCATTGGGAGGTTTCCACTGGATGTAGATCTTCTCCTCAAAGGGCCCTCCTTGGATGGATTCAAGAGGAACAGCTCCTGGAACTATAGAAGGGAAATACTGTGAGCCTAGTGTTACCTCCTATATAATTTCTCCAGCTCCACTGACTATTACAGGGGCTATCAAATTTTCTATAAAGGACTAAATATTAACTCTAGGACTGATGGCTGATACTATCGCTGGTCCAACTTCTTGACTGCCATTGTAGCACAAAAATGACTATAGAGAACCTGTAAATGAATAAATATGGATGTGTTCTGATCAAACTTTACTTGCAAAAACAGAAAAAATGGGATGAATTTGACTCAAAGGCTGGCAGCTTTTCATTCACCTATTTGGCAAATCCACTGGTGAAGTAAACCTAATCAGGCACAGAGGACATAAGTAGGCTCCTGCCTGCTTTAGGATTGTGATTTGAAGGGTGAAAAATGAGTTTTGCAATCATTTTAATAATGAATTTCCCTGGCCCTGCCAAGTTTTTTCCAACTTTAGAAAACACTTCCTTGTTTTCTTAATTCCTGGAACCATCAGTAACCATGTGCCCAATTAGAGGACCTCACCTTGCTCCAAGAAGTAAGCTAACACATAATGCTGCTGAGTCTCCTAATCTCTTGTTGGGTAGATGTTTACTATACACTTTTTGGTTGGATGAAGAGGTCAATGAATGACTAATGCCAGTATTTGGCCCTCATGAGCACACTTTTCCTGGGACCGCTTCTGTAAAAGGCAAGTCTTTCTATCAGTATCTTCCAGCAGCCTCACACAACAGTCTAGAAGATGCTGAGCCAGAAAGTCAATGATTCCCCAAACTTCTACTGATTAGCCCTTAGAGAATGAAGCATTCATGTAAATCTTTGCCCGATCTATTTATACTTCAGCATTATAAAAGCAGGTAAGCGCTTACTCTTTGATCAGGATTTTACATAACATTATTTTACTTAAGCTACAAAATAGCTCTGCCTACTATGTATTATCTCCTTCATGCTGATAAAGGAAATGAAGCTGTGAGAATTAACTAACTTGGTCAAGGGCATACCACTCTTAAGTTGTAAAGAGGGGACAGAACACCTGTCTCAGAGCTTCAAAGCATATAGTCTTAATCATCACACTTTGCCTCTCTGGATAGAGCCTCAATCAGTGCTGCAATCAGTTCCCCATTGTCAAATTAAAATGCTTTTAGTTTTTCTCATTATGGTCATGATGCATATGATTTGTTGGTATTAAGAATCTACAGAAAGATCTTGAGGTTTACACCAGGTCTTCTGAATATGTATTATAGGTTTCAGTTTAGTTTTTTAGGGGACTCCTGAGGGCGTGAGCGACTGGGTCTCTTATTCTTGCGCCTTCCCTCTGTTAGTTTGCCTTGTCCAACTCTGATGTCATTTTTTTTTAAACCTTATTGTGATGAGTTGCTGTTATCTCACCACAGAAGTTTATTCTAATGAGAGAAAGAAAGTGAATAGATTGGGATGGGAAGAAAAGTGGGGAGGATCTGGAGGAGTAGAGGGCTATAATCAGGATATATCGTAGGAGAAAAGAATCTATTTTCAACAAAAGTGGGGTGAAGTGGGAAAAGAAAAAAAAAACAGAAAAACAAAAACAAAAACAACAAAATGTTAAAAGAAAATGAACAAAATCTTCTGGTGCATATATGCATTTATAGGTACATACACATTTTTAATATAAAACTTGAATTCACATTTTTTTCAAAATAAATTAATCCTGTGTATGTTGCATTTTTACATTCTTTCATAACTAGACAAATCATAGACGTTAAAAATTTCTAAAATTAGCCAGGCTTGGTGGTGTATGCCTGTAATCCCAGCCCTCGGGAGGCAGAGGCGGGCAGGTCTCCATGAGTTTCAGGATAGCCTGGTCTAGAAAGTGAGTTAAGAATAGCCAGGGCTACACAGAGAAACCTTGTCTAGGAAAAAAAAAAAAGTATTTTTGTGACTCGACATTTTAACAGCCTCTTGGCGGTATGAGATTGCACACTCTGTTCACAGCAATTGTCCCTTCCTATTGAGCGCTAAAGCTGGTTGAAAATTTTTATGATTATGGATAACACCGGGCTAAACATGATTTTTTCAATTATCATGCAAAGAACAGGTTTCCCTATGAGATGCTAATATTTCTTTGTTGCTGAGCTTCCTTCTCCCATTTCCCTGTCCCTGCTTGTGCCCTTATGCTCCTCAGGCCCCTGTTCCACTTCAGTGTCATGTGTATTGTTTTCCTGCTCTTAGTCCCTTAGTTAAAACCTGTATTTTCCCTCTCCTGGGCACCTTTTGAGTAGCGAGATTCCTATCAAAACTCACTGAAATGAAAAATGCACACATAAAAATTAGAAGCTTAGAGCTATGTATGAGAGACAATATGTGACATGACTCTAGCCAGCCTGAGCACAGCAAACATGGCTCTGGGGGCCCTTCCCTTCTCTCCCATTCCCTCTGCCTTGATAAAAACTGTTAGATTACATTCCTAAAATTCTATGCTGCTGGTCTGGAGACAGGAAGCAACAGTCTGGACAGAAAAGGGTGAAGGAACTGTGTGAAAGGAACTTAGAGCTCCAGAACCTAAGTCAGGCAGCAACAAGAGCCTGGCCTGAGTTGGGCAGGTCATGGCTGCTTTGAGCAGGTGTGACGCTCTGAAACTGAGACAGGCAGATGCTGGAATGTAACAAAACAGCCCTATCATAAGAAGGAAAGGCAGTCCTTAATTATCCCATGGCTGGGGAGAATCTCCTTAAAGGTACAATTAAAGCCCAAACACTAAGACACCTTATTGGCATTGAGTAGATATCTCCAGAATCCCCAGATGCTTGCTGAACAGGTTTCTTATCAGGAAAGAGTCAGGCCTGTGATCTTCCCTAAGATCTTGTGATGCTCCTTAGGGGATCTGGGGTTCCCCAGATCAGGAGAAGAGGGAACCTGATGAGAAAGGAAGTCCATCTTCATACACCGAGCTCAGAGACTATCTGGAAATGCCAGATCTTAATAGCAGAGTTCCACACTAAAGCCCGAAGATCCATTTCTGTATTTGACCAATTCCTCCTCCTGAAGCTACCAAGATCCAACTACCAAAGTATTTAAGTCCACCAATCAAAAGAATCCTTTGGCTGACCTAACTTACATTTTTAATTAACATTAAATACTTTACTGTAACATAAGGCTTCCCCTTATAAAATGTGGCCATTTGCCTGTGGGCCACATCTGTTTTCCTCTGTATCCAGAGACAGTCCTATGTCCTCTGGGACACATACCTCTTCTCTCTTTCCTTTGTTCCCTTCCACTTCTCTCTTATCCTCTATCTCCTATCTTTGTCTCTTATTCCCTGTTCTCTATTCTATTAAGATAAACAAGCCTCCTTTATGCAAAGACTTGGTCTTGGGTGTCCTGAGCCTATATCGTTCCCTTACAATGTAGTATCTGGAACTCTGAGCCTGGGTCACCTCACTCAATATGTTATTTTCCAGTCTATCTGTGTTCTTGAAAATTTCATAATTTAAGCTCTCTCTGTGAGTATTCTTGTAAACAATCTGCACGCAACTTTGCTCATGTCCTCAAGACAGATTTGTGGCAATTAATTTACTAGGTCTAAGTAGATCAACTACCTCATTTAGGGATTTTGACACATATTACCAGATTGCCTCCCAGAAAGTTTGTTTAAGTCTGGGCTTCTAACAAAAGATTATGCCTAGGCCAGATTTCTACTCACACTGACTATTTAAAAAATTAAGTATTTGTGTCATTTTTAGAATCCTGAAAAACACAGATTTTTTTTTTTCACTTTGGCATTAATTCTTTTGAGAACTTGCTCCCTACACCCTGTGCTCATCTTTCTGTATGCTTCTTTATTTTTGCTGATCTTTATCTTATGGAATTGTCACTACCATCCCCTTGTAAAGACACTAAAGACACAGTTATTTATGCATAGTTTACAAATAATTTTTTTTTCTTTTGCCAGATTTCATTTGTGTTTTAAAGCTTCTAAGTGTGTAGAAGCTTTTAAAATGGGTCAAATTTCATATTGCTTCTTCCTAACTACCTTTCCCTTTCTGCAAATATATCTTAATTAATGTGATCAGTGGACTGTTGTTGACATTAGGGATATGCAAATAACAAAGAGAAATGTGGCCAAATCCTCTTAAAACTTGTGATCCAGGGAGCAGACATGTGTTAAATAACTGCACTCATGGATAGTTTCATTCGAGTTATTACCAGAACTCTCAGGCCAGGGGATGTGGCACTAGGAGAACAATGAACAGAGGCAAGTTAGGATAGCAAGACAGGATATCAAGTGGCCAGTAAGCTAGAGCTGATGGATAAGTAGAAGTATCTAGGGTAAAGGCAGGGAGTAATGGGAGTGTGGTGGATAGCTTTCTGAGGTCAAAGGTGGAAGGAGAAAAATCAGTTCGGAAGTCTGTAGTCATTCTGGAGACAAGGAGTATAGAAAAAGAAATGAACTGTAGGGGATTTCTGTCGTGCTAAACCAGCATGAATTGATGGTGACGGATGAGGGTAAATATGATAGGATGTGTCAGAGAGGGCTCCAGCATTGCTACATAGAAACCAGGAATCAGGCTCTTGTCCCTACAGGGAAGGGTCTCAAAGGATGACTAGTTTTGAAGAGGAATCTGGTGAGGTGAGCTCAGTTTTTTTTTTTTTTTTTTTTTTAGACTTGAGGAATATATAGAACATCCAGCCAGAGTGGGTAAATAGCTTTTAGAGAGACAAGACCAAGGCCAATGCTTGGATATTAAAATCATGTCCTGGAAATGGCAAGAGTATGGGGGGGGGGAGCTTTCAGACTCAGCTAAGACGACCTTGTCTCAACAACGAGGAGGAAAACACATGGGCACACTAGGACCCTATGTTGAGAGAAGAAACTAGGAAACCAGGAAGTTGAGTTGTCATAGCAGCAGCTGTGGATGGAGACAGGGTTAGGAAGGGACTGGGTAGCAGTGATGGATATGGCTGAATGGACAACCCGGAAGTGGCTCAACACCTGTGGCTGGAGGAAGAATAGTTTACAGAGACTGGTTGTA